CCTCAACTCGACTAGTCATAAGTCATTCTGGATCTGGCACGCTCCAAAGGGCTTTTCGCCAACCAGTCTGTAAAACACCAACTTGAACCGCAACCAAAACACCCATCCAACAACGCCTGCTCTGTTTCCAACAACCCAACCGAATCCCAGCCAAATGCTACCCGCCTAGAAGCGGGCTCTGTATGCCTCCATGCTTTCCCCGTCCTGCCCTATCCATCACTCCGCCAGAATAACACCAATATGCTGTCATACCATTCAAGTTTCATGCGTAACCTAACCGACCAGACCTGTCAACCCCAAAACAACCAAGCGCAATTCCGAAACCCCATTTTTGTTGTGTGGCGCATCTTGCAACTGTCGTTTCAAAAGCAGACAAATCGCCGTCCATACCATGTCTCGCGCGAGCGCAGACAAAATGCACACTACTGAAAGCCGATATTTACCTTCGACCTGAGCAGTGTCGCGCCTGTCAGGTGCGATAGCCGTATTCGCTTGGATTTCGACCGCTGGATGAGGTGCCGTTAGGCAGCGGCGGTGGGCTTTGGGACTGGCCACCTTGCGACCTCAGTGAGCCCTGCGAGGACACGGCCTGCATCTGCCGCTTGGTGTGCTGGAGCATGGAGCGGGAGTAGGTCCCCAAATCGGAGGGAGGCGGGGGGCTAAGAGGCATGGCGTAGCTTTCTCGTGAGGATGACATGGAGAAAGGGTGAGGTGGTGGGTGACAGAGTCGAGATGGGTTATGTTGCGAGATGGGCAGCTTTGAGCCTTGCTTCTTTGGGTGGGTGACGATGGCCTAGTTGGGACTGACGAGTATGAGAGTTCCGAGAAAGGAAAGATAGGGAATGCTAGTCTTGTTCGGTAAAAGTCCGCTGCGGAACCAAAAGTTGACGACCGCGACAGTCCGGCTAGGGAGGGGAACAGACAAACTTATAAGCCAAAAGACTCAGAGTCTATCTCATAAGGCGGGGATTGGCGGGGTGTGTGGGCTAGAGGCAAATTAAAAAAAAGGAAAGGGTCGACACTGGTATGTAACTCGGTACACACACACATGTACAAGTTGGGCTTTCTCAATGACTGGAGAGATTTCCGCTGACAGGCATAAAGGGGGGAGAGAGAATGTCGGGGACTGGACCTCACCTCCGTCACTCAGATCTGCATTGGACCCCAGTTTTGTCACCCATCCACCATCCCACCCACCCTCCTTTATTCTCGCATGCTCGTCAGCCGCCATCGTGGAGGATCCGCCGTCGCCCCGGCTCTGCGCCCGCGCGGTACCTACCAGCGTCTACATCCGGCGGCATGGATGCTCGATAACACTCTGGCACTGTGACCCTGCAGCTGCAGGTCTGCCCTCTTTCATGGCTGATCATCGGTGATGGGCGCATTGCAAGACATGGGTGGGCCTGAGCGCCGACAAACCAATCATGCGTAATTCGCCACAGATGGTCAGCACTATCTCAAGCTGTTGTACCTCTGTCTTCATCGTACAACATCAGTAGTAAATGGTAAACGCCCCTGTGGCTGTTTACCCCCTTGCGCACTCGCCGGCAAGATATTCAGGTGGGGAGAAGCGAGGGGTCAGACCGCCCTCCCGGACGCTGGAGAGATATCGAGAACCCTGTGGTGCCGTATCAGAAGTTCTGGAGAAGAAACGAAAAGCGGGGAAGGGGGTGGGGGGCTCGGAAACAGGAAAGACCAGGAAAGGCAAGACCCTGCGGATCTCGAACATCTGAAAGGTATCCAGTACGTTGGGTGACGTACGGTGGGTCGGTAGGAGCAAACGGAGGCAAAGGGTGACGGTGGTGGTCCAGCAACCGTCCGAGATTCTTTCGTTGAGGCAGAAGCGCCCGTCGTCATCCCAAGAGACCAGTCGCAGGTGGCGGAGAGGTGATGGGGCAGTGGGTGTCGGAAGCTTATTCGGCGAGGGCGTCATGACGGTGGCACTCCACTACTGATGGCAGGCGCGATTGCTAACGTTCCCGACGGTGAAAAACAAATGGCACTAACCAAGGTACCTCTCGATCGGCTGGGGCCAACAAAAAGTCGTTCGATGATCGACGGTCTCGATCGTCTTCGGGCGGTCTTCGCGCCTTAGCCCCATGATGTCAGTGGTCAGGACTCGGTGGTGGCCCTCGGTTCCTAGGTTTGGACGCAGGAAGGTTGCTTGCTCAAGCTGCAGGGTGCATGAGGGGAGTCCAAGTTGGCAATGTACCGGTACCCAAGCGGGAAACCGTAGTGTTACAATACAAGGGTCCATTGCCAAGGCCACCGCATGGGTAGAAACATGGAAATGCCATCAGAATGCCATAGCCAATTCTGCCATGGCGGCACTCGCAAACTTGAGGCTATTTGGTGCTGGAATCCTAAATCCCATTTCCCGCTTGGCGGGGCGCCATGGTGCGCGCCAGGTTCAACCGATGCAATGGAATAGGGAAATGCAAATTGGTGAGCTCAAACCGCTCAAAGGATGGGCTTGGCTTCACCATGACAAATGGCCGTGGGCGACTCGAGCAGACGTCGGATGAAAACGCTGGGTTGGACCTCCATGGGCATGACGTCACAGGTCCAACCCTCGGCCCCACTTTCGGTTGTCTTGTTGACATGGGCGACGACAAAAACCCCTTTATCCACAGGGCAGAGATCATCATTGCCCTGAGTCTAGAACGAGTCAACGGCTCGGGAGAATGCTCGCCTTCACCGTAGGTGCGTAGCTCTTTGAGGAATCAGAGTGTTTTGCGGGCCGAAACAGAGTTGGCGCGAGCGGCCCGTTCTTTCGTCACCGACAATCCAATTCCTTTTCTGGCGACTTTGTGTGGCCAAAAAATGGAGCAACGACCGACGTAAGAGGACCCCTATTCCCCCAGCACCCTTCCGCGATGACTCTGCGCGACTGAATGACGGTTGGTGGGACGCTTGTTTGTGGTCCCGTCATCACGAACCTCGCATTCGAGGGTTGGTGACCCCCAGAATGTAAACAAAGAACGTTATGACATAATAGGGTGTCAGATGGAGGGCTACCACGCATACGAGGCGCACAGCGCTCTCTGACGTTAGTGGTGTTTCGCGTGGCAAACATCTATGGCATCACCGGGATCCATCCAACCTCTCGAACGCCAGCGATCTCTAGAACATGCATACAAGGTCGGGGATCTCAAGGCTGTCTTGTCTGCTCAACTCGGGCGCATCGCAAAAAGTCTTGGCAGCATGAACTGCGAATGCAGTCATTATTCATCGCCCGCCCCGTCGGAATGGTATTCAAAGTCCTTCGGCACCGGAGCGAGCGTTACACCGCCCTTGGCGTCCTCGTCAGGATCGACCTCGTCGGTCCTTTTCTCGCTCGACGACGATGGTTTTGTCATGTTGGTGGCGGCGGCAAGGTCCCGAGCTGCATCATCGTCGACCGCTCGCCGACCTTTGAGCAAAGCAGTCATCCACTGACACCATTGCCACTAGTTGCAAACTGTCAGCTCGAACATCATTTCGAAGGAGACGGACCGGGGGCATCATCATACCGGGCTTTCCTTGCCGCCGGGAAGCGAGTTGAAATACTCCCATCCCATCACACCCCCAAACGCCGGATGACGTCCCACCAACACGGGCAGGACGCCAGCCAGAGCTTCCCACGGCACCCACCCCGAGCCGTTTTCAGGGTTCGTAACGAGCCCAACAACAATCTTTTCTGCACTCCACCCTTTGCGCATGAGCATCTCATACATGAGCGGGTTACTGCAATCACCCCAGCCACAGTAAAACTCTATACCACATGTTAGCACTTCACCATCATCCCCCTGAAGATCAAGATGGTGAACATACGAGCATTATACCACCCAATCTCCCTCCCCCTCATCACCTCCAACGCCTCATAATCAAACCCGCTCAAATTATGCTCCGCATTCAACAATGCCGCCGCAACAGGCGCAAGCGTGATGATAAACTCCCTTCCAAAATCAGCCCGTAGCCTGTCGATCAACCTGATGATCCCCGCCAGCGACATTTTCTCCTCCACATCCAGATCCAACCCATCCAGCCCGCGCTCCAGGACCATGTCCCGCAAGGGAACGTAGTACCGCTCAAAGACTTGCTCGTCTTGGTCTAGACGCGTAAACGTCCCCTTTGCGGCTCCGCCGAGCATGCCGAGGACTTTGATCCCCGATGCTTGGAGGATGCGGAGCTCGGCCCATAGCGTGGTGAAACGCGGGTGGGATGGGTGGTGGTCGTTGAGGGTTAGGGCTGTGGGGTCCTCGTTGATGTGCAGGGCTGCGAGGATGAGGTGGGTGAGGCCGATGGCGGGCTTGCTGAGGAGGGGGAGGACTGAAATGTAGGCTCCTGAAGAGCTGTCGTGGTGGGTTTGGTAGTAGGTTATGATTCGGGGGGTGTTTTGGTGAGGTGGGAGGGGGGCCATTGTTTTGGGTCGTGTTGTGAGTGGGTGGGTGATGAGTGTGAGTGAGTGGGTGCAGGTGCGTTGCTGGGATGAATGAGGATGGGAGGTGGGGTTATGGTGTGTGGTTTCAGCTAATGGGTTAGGGTTATTCTGGGTTGTGAGATGTGGTTACACCTTTGGATTTTAAAACTCGTCTGGTTTATTTGAGGTTTGTAAAGAATATTACAGGACATTGTGGCCGTATTGTTTTATTGGGAGTCGTGACGGTTTTAATTACACGAGTTCTGCGCAACCTCGTCGAAGGAGTTGTTGTTCAAGGCGAGGCGGTGATGTTGATCTCCAACCTCCACCCAGCACCACCCAACTCAGCTCACAGATCTCAAATCCATCTATTTGAATCCAGACCCAGAAGACTTTTTTTTTATTAAAGAAAAAGAAACAAACATAAAACCCTCATTGATAATGTCAAATTAAAAGGAAAGGGAAAAAAACTCAACATTGCGCACCCGATTAAATGTTTCCCCAGCAGGCTGCTATCGCAAGTCGCAGTTTCATCCAATGCCTAGCATACAAGACGACCTACTCGGAAACTGTTTCATAACTTGGTTCCAAACCACACTCCTTCATAGTGTAACGGCTAACATATGTCGCTTTCATTCCGATGACCGACAAGCTCCGGGTTCGATTCCCGGTGAGGGAATATTTCTTGGTATTTTTTTTGCTTTTTATTTCTGCCCAGCCATGTCACAAAGCACTACTCATTTTTGGCTGCGCTTTTCGGCTCAACGGTTACAACCTGGAGTTGGGTTGAGACGATGCTGTTCAGGAGTATGTATGCTTCAATCAGACCGATCAAGAAGAATTAAACACCAAGCCTCAGCTCCAAATTTCGACAGGGGGTTTCGACATCACCACCTCACCCTCTCTTTACTCAAAGACTTCAAATTGAGGGGCTGCCATAGGATATCATGGGAAACATATGCTTTTATAGGGGTTTTTTTTTTTCTCAAATAAAAAGTGAAACTTGAAGCGCATGGTTGTTGATTGGACTTTTTGCATTTCTTGATTAGAAGTTCAGACGTTAATATTTCGCCGTCATCCAGCGAAACCAATCGCCCAGACGCCGAAAAACCATAATACCTTATTCGTCCAAAAAAAAAAAAAAAAGGGTATAATCTACAACCGAACAACCCCCCCCCCGCAAATTACAAACCAGTCACAAAATCAACCCATCCTCAGTGGCGTACTAATCAAAAACCCATCCTGATCATACAACCCCAAACTCTCCAAACTCCCCGCCCGTCCATGTCCATCGCCGTACCTCCTCCTTTTACTATTTCCCAACCCATCAAACACCCTAACAGGCGTCCCATCCTCCCCCACAACCTGAAACATGAACTCGGTCCTAGGAACTTTCGAAGCAGGACTCCCCTTATTCTCCTTCTCATCGCCTCCCTGTCCCCCCACCTCTCCTTGAATGGAATCATCATCATCATCATCACTCCCATCCCCCTCCTCCATCCGCCACACAATCGGACTCGACTTGAAACTAACCTTCCGACTAGCCGCCCTCGCACCATGCCTCACGGGGCTGCCCTTGTTAACACCAAGTGGACTACCGGCTTTTTGACGCGGTGGCGATCCAAGAGTGAGATAGTTCCTGCTTCCGGAGCGGCGTTTACCGGGGCTGAATATACCCGTTGAGCTGTCGATGCTGGAGGCCGTGCTGACGCAGCTGTTCATGCGCCGGAGTTGGTCTACTACTGCGAGGGCGAGGGGCTGTGGTGTGGGCGAGGTGTTGTTGGCGATGCGGAGCGGGGAGACGGTTGCGCTGGAGATGGTTGAGGTTGCGGAGAGGCAGCTGGGCATGCGGCGGAGGTCGGCTTGCGTGAAGATGGGAGATGGGGACTTGGTCGGGGATGGGGGACGCTGAATAGGTGCAGGTGGTGTGGAGAGGAGGGAGTTGGCGCGGTGGGATTGCGTGTTAAACGCCGCGGTGGCGGAAGGGGTGTCTTGGGAGTAGATGGACGAGGAGATGCTTGCCCGGTGGTGGAGGGTTGGGGAGATGCGCGAGGGGGTGATGGTTGCGTCGGTTGCGGTGGAGAGACGGTTGTCTTCCTCGGCGTCTGTTGGTTCTGTCTCGACTGGGATGGGGGATGAGGACGGGGGTGGGAGGGTGATGGAGTGTAGTTTGCTGGTCGAGGGGAATTGGAGCGTCGTCTGGGTCTGGGTGGCTTTGATGGGGATTTTGGAGCCGATGGGGCCAAAGGGGTTTGGTTGGTTCATGGCGCGGGAACCGATGGGCTCGGTTCGTCGGAGACCGGTGTAGTCGATTGGACGAGACTGGAAGAGGGACTGGGACTTGCGGCCCGGCGAGAGCGGGGACGGAGGCAGCTTGACCTCGGGTGGTAGCGTCAGAGCTTGGCCAATGGTCATTCTGCGGAGACGACCTGATCGTTCGAGGGTCGCCCGGAAGAGGTCCTGCGACTTGTGTTGCTTAGTGGGCCATCCCAGGCTCGTCGTTGGTCGGTTGGACGGTAGCGAAGACATGGGCGAGAAGGGGTCGGCCATGGACTCGGGACTGACCATGATGGACTGGATGTTGTTGGATGCGACGCCGCTCGGTGTGTTGTTGTTGGTCCTGATTCCTTCTGACCTCTCGTCCTCGCTGTACACGGTTGAGAGCGCCGAAGACACAGAGCTGCGGGTGGATTGGACCAGGGCAACCTGTCTTTCTGGCTGCCTTTCGGGCCCCGGTTTCTGATGATGGCGACTCGGGCTGGTCAATCCTGTTGGGCCTTCAGGGACTTCAAAGAGAAGCTCATCGAGGAGAGTATCAGACTCGGACATCATTGACGTGTCTGACATTTGACGCTGGTGGCTGATAGTGACAGGCTGGCCAGGGGCCTTCTTCCTTGGGATGGGTGTCTTGGGCTCGGTGGGGGAGCATGTTAGAGGCAGTAGCTCCTCGGTGACAGTGTCTTCGTGATGGTCAAGGAGACACTCCCTGCTGGTTCCTGCCGTTCCCATCCTGTCCGGGGACGTCATGAGCTTGTTCTTCCCTTCCTGGAGCCTCTTTTCGGTTGACTTGAGGATCTCTGTCAGCGTCGAGTCGGTTGAAGGCTTCCGGCCCATCTTGGAGGGCGTCCTGGGCAGGGACCTCGTTGGACTGGTGGTGACAATGGTGGGTATCATCCGTTGGTGTTGCTGGGGGTCTACAAGTGTGTACCCTTGGCTGGCGCTGGAGACTGATCTCGTGTGCTGCCTGGTGTGGTTTGCAAGGTGGGCAGGCCTTGGCGGCTCGGGAAGCACCCGCGAGTACATGCGAAGCTGACCATAGGTCGTTCTAACGTGATTGATACCGAGCAGGGAGTTTTCTCGCTGGCGATCCTCTGGATAGCCGTGGACAGTATGATACAGTCTCGGCAGAGTCGGCGCTCTGGTGTTCATCGGCCACGAATCTCGAATCTTGCTTCGCTTGGATCCTTTCGGACGGCTGCACATCTCCGGGCCATGGAGGGCGTCTTCGTCGACCCAAGGGTTCCTGCGTGAGTTGCTTCTGTCCGGCCCCGGTTGCCAGTTGCGGGAAGGCGTGCGAGTAAAATGCGCCGAGATGGACCGGGGGATGAGAGGCCCATGCCGGATCTGGCCGACCGAGTTCGCCTCGTTGAGATTTGAGGATGAAGACCCAACCTTTCTCAGCTTTCGAGATCCGCCCGGTGCGTCGTGTGGCTCCCCGTCAAATGCGTAGTCGCCATCGACGCTGGGACTCTGACCCCTCTGGCCATGGGCTTTCCGCACAGCTCGCCTTCGCGAGTACCAAAGCCCAAGAAAGACTGCCAGGGCCACCGTTGCCAGAGTGCCCGAGATAACAATGGTGATGAGGGCGCCGAGCGAGATGTAATTCTGCCGAGTCGAGCGAAAGTCGAAGTTTTCCGGCGTAGGCGGCGTGTAGCGACCTAGAATACCCATTTTGACGGTTGACTCAACCAACTCCCAGGTAACTTTCTCTCCGAAATGGTTCAATTACCCTCTGTTGCTGCCGCTGGCGACTAGAGCACTCGCAATCGCATCGCCAACCAGCAAACCCGACAACAAGCACGAGGCAGAAAAGGTGCAGAGCGACTGGAGAGGATGAGAAAACACCCGTAGAGGCTGGAGAGAGCATTTTAGGTTTCCAATTTCCCCGCGCTTCAGCTGAAAGCAGGTCGTTGCTGGCCGGAAGCTCAACTGGAATGCGTAGTGCTGAGCAACACCATGCCAGTCCATGGTTGCCGTGAGACATTGCTTCCACGTCCACCAGCCCACCACGTATTTGCTGTGCAAAACCAATTTGACAAAAAGTTCCAACAAGGCATCGTCGAGATTGTCAGCGTAAAATGTATTGTTGTTGAGATAAGCTGCCCCTTTCTGTTTGTTTACCTTTTCGACACTGATGGACTAAGCCAACCTCGGTCTACCTTGGTCATGTAGCACCGGACGACGTAATGGTGCGGCACCATGAGATATGCTCACGTGGGCTAACATGGGGCTCATCTCGCGATATTGCGCTAGACGTTGCGCCGCATCCTGCAATGTGCCTACCATGGATGATCAGCGTCCGCAATGGGGCACAAATCTCGTTTCACGTCGCCAAGAGGAAGCCTTGTTGCGGCCGTTTGCAGTTTGAATGCTTTCTTATCAAGCCCGAGGTATCTTTGCTATTCACCGAACGCCAGCCATATGAAAGTTGACGTGACAAGCAATCAATGCGAAGCCACAATGCAATTCATCGAAATCATAGCTTCCAGTTCGGCCCCCCATATTGCTCGACCTTCCATGGGGCCACCCATAAAATCGGATCCAACATGCGCAGCGCATTCCCGAAAACCATCCTCCTCTAAAATCAAAATTCTGCCAAAAACGGCAAAGAATGGGGAATAAAATGACCATGTACCTCCCCCCCTATATGCTACAGCCGCAAGTCCCCCGAGAGATGCCAATGCAAAGGCGGGATTGAGCTCTTTAGCGGCGACCATGACGGCGCTGGTGGCGGTGCATGTGTGGGGTGTAGCGCGCCTTGAGGGCGCCAACCGTCATTGTTGATGTGTATGTCGTAGTTGTTACGGTGACATACTCGACCTTCTCCTTGACGATGATCATGCTGACGAGGTTGCCAGCCGTGATGTACTCGGTACGGACGACCTCATAGCCGTCGTCAACAGGCTCGACAGGGGGCTCGGGAGCCGGCGTGACAGGAGGCTGGGCTAAGGCAGCGATCTCTTGAGTGCTCGACGGGGCCTCGGTGCTGATCGAGGTCTCCTTGAAAATCTGACCGGGCAAGTAAACGCTGCCAGTGGGCTTGGCACCCTCTGAGTAGCCCACCGAGGGAACAGCAACGGTGGTGGTCTGGGGTCCAGGGCTTGGGTTAGTAGCCGGCTCTGGTCCGTACTGGATGGGCACGTCTCCAGGGAGTGCCATGCCAACACGCCCCTCGACCTTCTCGTTGGCGAGCGCGGATGGAACGTTCATCTTGCACTGGTGGGCTTTATCGTCGGACTGGATGTCGAAAATGGAGCAGTCCTCAATCTTGCCAGACCTGCTTGTGCACTGGTTCACGGCCTGCTGAAGGAACTCAGGCTCCCAACCCATCATGAAGTCGGCATGATAACCAAATCCTATTCAATTGTCAGATTGAACCCAAAACCCCAAACCAGTAAT